GGCGGGCGGGCGTATATGGATGTAAGCACTCCTTCAGGTAACCAGAACCCAAGCCGTTTAGGGCTTTATGGGTCATCACCAACACCTTGAATTGGGCCTGGACTTCAATGGGAAGCCAGTGAAGCTGACGGAGGACTGGAGTCATGTGAACATAATGCCCAGTCCACGTCAGCAGCCTGGCAGCTCTATTTTGAACCAATTGAAGTATCCGGACCGTCTTCAAGGGTAGCCCCACATAGAGCGCGTTACAGAAGTCAAGGCGGGAAGTCACCAGTGCGTGTGTCACTGTCACCAGGCAGTCGTACTCCAGGTAGGGGCGCAGCTGATGGATCAGCCGAAGCTGAAGGAAAGCACTCCTCGCCACTGCTGTCACCTGAGCTTCCAATGAAAGCTCTGGGTCAAGGAGCACTCCCAGGCTGCGGACCTTGTCCCTAAGAGGGAGTGCAACCCCATTCAGGACTAGGTTCAATTCACCCTCTCCGAAGCCCGATCCGCCAACCAACTGGACCTCCGTCTTGTCTGGATTGAGCTTCAGAATCTAGTGAATACTGAGAGTCAAAGCCTCATCCAACTTCATTCATTGGACTACACTGGCTCTTTGTGGTAAAGAAGTGGTGTTTTGTAATGTCCACACTTTGTCATTTTAAAAATATAAAGCATTTAGTAGAAAATTAACTATGGATCCAAATTCTATTAGGTGTAGCCTTAATCCTTCCCATAGTTCAAGATGCACAACTGTATTGTTTTGAGGAAAAATGTCCCTCTGCTAATTTGCTTATCTTCAGCATACAGTATTATACAAACCTACTAAAACAAAATATTTGAATTTATATTGTGTTTATCTACATTTCAAGAGCACTGCAGTCTACTGAAAAGCATGAAATTAGTCTAACCTTGTATTTGTGTAATAATCCAAATTACTTTACAAACTCTTGTCTTCAGCAACTCATTGGTCATAGTTATATATTTCTTCTGTTTGTAGAGTGATATACTATTGTCTGACATAGACGCAACCTTAGATATTACATTATAATTTGTAAAGTTACTGTCACTCAGTTTTACCAGTTGCCAGCACCCTGAGAGTTAAAAGCCCTAAGGGTGAAGCTGAACAGTCAGTATGGCTTACAGGACTCTTAAGGAGAAGCAAAAGAGAGATATAAGCCCATGCTGAATTAACCCTGTTCTCTCCACTCACTTGGCTATTCAGAATCCTCTCAAACCCCATGGTTGCTTTTCTTCTCAGATAAAAAAAATACAGCTTCCTATATCTTCTGGAGAGAAAAGCCCCTTGGAAATGCATAAGCAGCCACTTTCTTTTCCTAGCATGCTTGATCTGAAACATGTGCCACCTACCCACTAACAACCCACACCATCCAGGAAAAGAATTGAAGAAAGGCACAGAACATGTTGCTCTGGCATCAGGTGACTGGATTATAGAGTTTTGCATTTGTTGTCATAAAACAGGAGGGTGCCCAGAGATCTAAATGTTCTGATTGCTCTGGCTGCCAAAAGTTCAGCATTCTTGAAAAAAAAATGACAGCTTGGCACATGTAATTCTTTCTTTCTCACAGTGCTCCATTGACACAATAGGTTTATGTCCATTAATGCAGTGAAGCAGCTTTTACTTGTCACATAAACTGGCAGCTCAGGGACGGATTATACTTCTTAGGACTTCTGCATCACATCCTGGCCTTTTCCCTGTCAGTTTTTTATTTCCATTTATGCCTTTTTTCTGATGCGATTATTTACTTTTGATTGTCTGAATGAATATTACCAAGTAACATGTACTATGTTCCAGTATGGCGGGCAACCTGCAAAGCAAGGAGTCAGGCTGATACTTGTTTTCATTTGATTCCTGTTCTAGTTCAGCAGCTTGACACTGGAAAACAGGACTAGCACCAGGGTTGAGAAGGTTTGTGTCAGGGATGCTGCCACTGGTTGCTGGCCATGGGCTCACCTGGTGGCAGTAGCAGGGTTTTCAAAGCTGCCACCCTGTTGCATTCCCACAGTATCCCAAAGGATGCAGCATTAGCCACTTAAGAGCACTGTAGGTCCAGCCATTGCCAGCTAGGAGAACTGGTGGAAAGGAGTACCGCAGCAGTCAACAGACTCCAGTAGGATTGGCTACCCAGATATTCTTTGTGTTTATGGTGGATCTGTTTTCAGTCCCATAGAGACACAAAACTACTTGTATATCATGTAGGCGGCAGTGTAGTGTTTAATTTCAAGGTGCAGGCACAAGTCCAAAAGTACAGAAAGCTTATCAATGAACTGATTGTAGCAGGTTTATCTCCAGGAATCAGTTTTTGTAAATGAGTTTTAATTGCCTGTTCAAAAGAAAAATCACCACAAAATACTTTGCATTTCAACCAGAAACAATATGGTCGTAGATAATGGCAGAAAATTGTGATTTACCCATAATTTACAGCAGCAAGTGTCAGGTGCATTCTGCAAACTTTTTGACTATTCATTCCAAATTGAGGGTTGCTGTGTGACATCCAAGCCAAACACTGGCCCTTAATCATGTGTTAGATAACTCACGGTCATTTCCTACTAATTGTAAGTTAACTGTGACTTGCTTGATTTTTGATAGGTTTAGATAGGACTCAGTAGTTGAATATTTTAAATGGCTATGAAACATGCTCAGTGCACAGAGGGCAAATTCTGGGTTAACTGACTTCCCATTTGTTCATGCAAACCAGTGCACTTCATCCTAGCTATTGTGAGAATTGCAACTCAATTTGGAGGGAATTCTCAGAAGGAGTGGCAGATGTCATCAGTGTCCTTGCTGATTAAAAGGAAAAGTTGATATTCCATCCTTTTGAGCAACTAGTACCACTACTGGTATTTTATTTATTGATTGATTTATATCCTGCCTTTTTCCTACAAAGGGCTCAAGGCAGCTTACATCTCCTCCTTCACCTATCCCCACAACAACAACCCTGTGAGGTAGGTTGGGCTGACAGTCTGTGACTGGCCCAAAGTCACCCAGTTGGCTCCATGGCTGAGTGGGGACTAGAACCCAGATTGCCTGAGTCCCAGTCCCATGTTCTTAACCACTACACCACACTGGTTTAATTACTAGAAAGCAGAGAATTTGCTTTTATGTGCTTTTATTCGGTGGTACTTTCCATTTTTAAATTCTCTTTGTAAGGTGAGTTTCCTTTTAAAAAGAAAAGAAAAGCTTTAGGGTGAGACTTATACTGTGTAGTTAAACTATTTTAGTCTAGTTCTACTTCAAACTGGCAGTAGTTTAGTAACTAGAATGGTGTACATTACTTGATCTAGTTACTAATCTAGATTTAGTTACTAAGCTAGTTTATTAAACAGATTTAGTTTACATTGCTAAATTTAAATAGTTCACATTATGAAGCTAAATCACAATATGAGTTGAGGTAAATTAATGGATTTTTGTATGTATTTTTCAATGGGTTAAACAGTTATGCATGTTCTGATGTTTAGGTCGAAGAACAGAAAGAAGGGGTTTCATCAATAAATTCAGCAGTTGCAGAGATAGGAAGTCCTTCCAGAGGGACTTCTCCTTGTGCTACAAATCAGAAGATTTTGTTCACCTGTTGAGTCTTTCACTCCTGAATGGATTACCTCTCATTCCTCTCATTTGTCTATCAAGTTGTGCATCTTCACAGTAGGAGATGAAGTCTTTTGTCTGTTGCCTTCTGGGCTTTAAAGACTATTACATAAAATGATAGTAGACACTGTTCTTTGGGGTCTTAAACTCAGTCTTCATACAATCTGTGGATGTGACACAGACCTATTTATGTATTTTCCTCCAATACAATTTGAACAAATAATCTGAAATATTTCCTTTTTGTTCTCTTCCATTTAAGAGACCTAGTTGAGCAATCAGAAAGGGTGTGCGTGATTTTAATTTTGTTGTTGTTCTTGTTGAAGTTTGATTTCACTCCCCAATAAGTGAATGAGTAAATGAGTCTTTCAAGAGCCTTCCATACGGTTTGACAAACTATTTTCAAAATTTGCAGTTTCCTGTAACCCCAAAGCTCATTTTTACCTAGATTGTTTAAAAGAGCATATGTATTTGTGTACAGGAGGCTATATAATATCAACTTCTTAATATCATTGAGATCAATAACAAAGATAACATAATTAGGTAATTAGGATCAAAGAACATTTGTGAATTTTCAGAAAGAAAAGTATAAAGTCAAGTTACATATATTTCTGTATAGTTAACTCTATGTATCTGCTTTTGCTATTGATCCTAAGATGTATTTCCAAGGATATTTTGTGATAAAAGCTAATCTTTCTTAGTCTTTATGTAACATAATAGTTATATATCTTAGTAAATCCCCAAGACACACACAAAGCAAAAGCATTCTGAGCCTGAGCCTTCCCTTCTCGCCCTCGGCTCCCAAACACCGGAGAATCCTTTACAGTGCAGATCATGATTGGCATTTCACAGCTAACATGACAGTGCAACTCCAAGAGCTCTCCAGCAAGGTGAACAATAAGCCCTGTTCATGTAAAGAGTGAGTGCCTGGCCTACTCACTACAAAAAAATAGCCATGTTGGCTGTAAGAAGAATGTCAGAATTCATATTAGGGTAATATCTTTATCAAGCCGATTTAAGGTCTCTTTCACTCACACACCCCAAGCTTTTGAGATCTCTAGAGGACTTCATCCAGCCGTATGAGTATGTTATAGAAAGCAGGTTGTGGAACAGGGAAGGAGTTGATCTGTTGTTGAAATAAAGCTGGAATAGTCAGGGTCCTAATATGAAATTGTGAAAAGTCTGCAGATATCATCAGACAGTCTAATGATGGTTTCTTTATATCACACTTCTATAGCTGCTGGAACAAACAAACAATAAATGGATTATTAATTCTTGTTCCCAAGCAATTTAATCAGAGGAGTCTTTCTGTTGGCACTCTCTTCTAAGCGCCTTCTAAGATAGAAGTACAGTATCCAGTAACAGAAGACAGCTGTTTTTAGAAGTGTTGGTAGCCCAGTTATAAAATGTCCTGCCTAAAGAAGTGTATTTGATGCCTACATAACATTCTTTTCAAAACCAGCCTATTATGTTTTGATTTTTATGTGATACATGGTTCAGAGGCTGCTGAATGATTATAAATTTTATAATCATTTCATAATTAATGTTATGGTTGTATTGTACATTTTACTGTTGTATAAAACATTTGCTGATTAGCACAATCTTAAGGCTAGTACACAAGTATTTTAAATTATCTTTATCATCAAGAATTTACATCAATTTTTGGCATTTTATTTTTATTTTAAAGGAAGGCCAACATAATTTCTGTCTTACATCTGATCTGTTTACCCATTAACAGGCTTATTAGGTGTCTTTTACTCTGCACTGTTATGCCAAAGTATTCTTGCAGTATGTTCATGCTTTGTTTGAGTCAATGCCTGATTTTCATTCGAAGCACATCAGTTCTTCTTTTCATGCTTAAAAAAAGAAGGATGCATATTTCATGACATACTGATTTTTTTACTCAACTATTCCAATAGTTGTCATAGATAGTGTTGTATTTCATGCTTTAATAATTATGTCCAAAGGAACTACACTGATTGTGGCAACATTATCTTTCCTCTCCTTTTTTGTTCCAGACGCAGGATCTTGGAACGCAGAACCGAACAAAAGTGAATGTTCCCGATCATGTCCTTTATGCTGTAGGCTCTTGTGTTCTTGTAATTGGTTCTATTGGGATTACAGGAAACCTCCTTGTCCTCTATGCATTTTTCAGGTAAGGTAGTTTTATCAGGTTGAAGAGAAACATGAAGGACATTTTTGTTCTTAGTAGAAGGGGAAAATCAACAACCTGAGGAGCTGTCCAGTTGGTCCAACCCTCTTCTCAGTTTCACATGGCGGGAGAATGGGAGAGATGACTCTTGCAGGATTCAAGTACGCTTCATATTCAATATGAAAACTCCTGGTTCAGGAGCAGGGAATTCCTTATCTCACCTGACATAGAGATGAAATCAGGAATATTGTAGTTAGAACACTTAGTAATCTCCTCAGAGGGCCCTCAGACCAACATAGTGGAAGATATGTTTACTAAATAATAACTGCCTGTAGTATCTGAGAGACTGGGGTCATTGATATTAACTATTTTATTTAAGTTCATTTATAATCCAGCTTTCCATCATGGAACTTAAGGTGGCACACATTGAGATCTCAGATGCCTTCCTATTCAGAAACTCAACAGATACAAACTTTTATATAGCCTGAAGTACCTGATATTGCCTAATCTTGGGAGCTAAGCAGGGTTGGGCCTGGTTGAAATCTGGATGGGTGACTTAATTGTTGAGAACTGCCCAGAGAGCTTCAGCTACAGGCAGTATAGAAATATAATGAATGATAATAATAGCCTGCTTAGCTTCAGCAAATAGCCATATCCTGTACCCTAAGAGTGTAACCTGGAATGTGGTAACAGAATATAAAAGCTATTAGAACTTGGAGGTTTGCATGAATCCAATGCTCTTCTGTCAGCGGTGAAGACACAGTGAGGCTGGTGCTAGACCAATTATAGGGTTTCTTGTATCCTGGACGCTCCCCTCTGCATCCTTCAAAGTGCTTCCTTTCAGACCTGCCCAGGATCCTCCGCGGCATGTGGTTCTTTCCATAATGACTTCACAGGCACAGATGGTGGTGAGGGAGAAAAGGTCCGATTTCAGAGTCCCCCTTAGTGGATCCTTGTAGTGACTATGGACTAAGAGAAAGAGTGTAATTAAATCTATGGTCCCTAGATACTCTCAATGTCCACAGGATTGATTTCCCCAGACCTTAATCATGCGTGCTTCTCTGGGCTATTATTCTGGACTCTGTGAAAGACTACTGAACCAAGGAGATAGGCTGGTGGATAATTTTCTGATGGTATTACTGTGAAGGGTGCTTGTGGACCGAAAATTGTCATGTAGCTTTTGAGTCATGATTTTAGCACCCTGTAAGAACTATAACAAAACTTGATTCTGGAATATCCTACATGCAGTTATCTTAACCCAGTCAAAATCTCCTTTCCAGCATATCAGAAATTTTACAAAATTCCTTTGGCTGAGAAAAAAGACCATATGAAAATGTTAGAGGATTTCAGAACTAAAAATAGTCACAGGTGAGGAAAATGTAGTTTCTGACATCCTATGTATGTTTAGATCAGAAAAAAAGTCCTTCTACTCTCGACATTCCACTGCAGCAGTGCTGGAAGCTGTAGGATATTTTTCTGTCTACACACGCATAAGTTTATGCCCTGAATTTGTTTTTGGATGGACTGTCTTCTGCACCTAAAAGTTCATACTCTGCGCCCTGATATTTTGATGAATTTTCCTTGGATGTTGTCAGTAGTGTTGTTTAGTTATCACATTTGTTGAGATGGGCCCTGGGATACTGAACAGCTGTCAGAAAAGGATGACTTTTGCTCTTGCTAAATAGGGATAGCTTTGACCTCATGATCCAAAGAAGCTGTCTCAGATCTTCTACTTCTTTCTCCTACCTCTTCAGTCAATTGATTTTTCCTTGCCCATTAACATTTCAAGACCTCTGTAAACCCTAGAGAGTAGCATAGCATGCTAGCATCTGCTGAGCCATGGGTCAGAGCTTACACAAGCTACCTTTTGAAAGATGTAATGTGGTAAGATTACACATTATACAGCATTGTAGGACAGGTATATGATGAGCTATTTCTATCACTGGCAGCAAAAGAATAATTTGCACAGAATACTATGCAGACAACATGCACTAGAAATAAAGTCACAGTGGGACTTTTAAAATATTAGTTGAAAAATTTTGTGGGGAGAGTGGCTTTTTGCTTATAGTTTTCATGAAACTACTACAACACTAGTTTTACTGGAAACTAAATGGTATTTTTGGCTGTTGCAGTTGAAGTAACAAATTTCAACATGTACATTTTATACTAATATTTCACCTTGTAAGTAGTAAATTCATATATCTGCAACCATTCAGTTAGGTTTATATTTGTTGCCCTGGTTTTCCCCCCATCATGTACAGGTACAAATGCAACCGTGTAATTTGCAATCAGTTGTACTTCAGACATAGATAGCGCACACCACTGAAAAAACAGAATTCTTGTTTCAATGAATTATGCTTCTACTTTAATTATTTACCTCTCTTTATATATGGGCTGGGTCATAGGATGGACAGCCACCTGAGAGGGATGGTTCAACTTAGAGTCCTATACTGAGCAGAAGGTTGGACCCTATGGCCTATTGGCCCCTTCTAACTCTACTGTTCTATGATGACCAGGCCATGAAAAACATGGTATTTACTGTGATAGTGTAAACTCACATATATTACTTAAGCTGAAACTGAAATAAAATTCATTTTGGGGACCTCTTAGTTTAAAATAAAAACATTGAATATATAGCATTGCTGTTACTGTGCTTGCTTCTGTGAATGTCATGGAGGTGCTCTATTCCGAGCATCCACAGAACGTTATCTGTTATGCATATGAATTCATTTACAATTGATGTGGATTCAGGTAAGATGGCATCATTAGTTTCAGTACTGTACCTGTAAGTTTCAATGCCCATCTTGCAGGATTGGGACTGGCATGTATACATGAAAACAAACTCAAAAGGATTTATTTGGTGATTATGTTTGCCTGTAAAAATAGGTCATATAAGCTAGGCATAATACACTTTAGTCTCTGGATAAATCTTAATATATGGTTGTATCAGCATGTCCATGCATTTCCTGAAAATAATGGCATCTTTGGGAAAGTTGCTATTTCTGCCTGACTGCCTAGACATAATACATAGTTTTCCCAAGTGACTGCCTATTTGCAAACCTAGCTTAAAAAAGGAATCAAGAATGATGTGTCAGTGGGGACTTTTGTACGTGAAAATTGGAAGAAAAAACTGACATTCATTAGTCTCATCTTGGAGCCACTTGTATAATAAGAAAAATCTGTTCCCTAAATTATTTTTCCTTACTAGACTTCATTCCAAAAAAGTTGTGTATACATTTGTATAACAGTACATTTTAGATAATTTGAGTCAATTCATTTTATGAACTGAGTGGAAGCAAAGAAAAATTAACTGAGAGTTTTTCTTACTCTTTCCCATATTAAACATCATGATGAATCTTGTTAAGCAACAAGAGGCTGAGGACTCCTGCAAACTATTTCATAATGAATTTAGCAGCAAGCGATTTCCTGATGTCTGCAACTCAGGCTCCCATCTGCTTTCTCAACAGCATGCACAGAGAATGGGTACTTGGAGACATAGGTACGTCCATCTAAGCCTCTCTCTACTGTATGAAACTTGTCTTGGACATGTCAGTGGTATGATAAGGATGTTGGAATCCATGCTTTGCCACATGAGATCACAGTGAAGGTGAGGGGTCAGACTATCAGGAATGGAGAGCAGATCAGAATCACAGGACAACCCATGAAGCAGGACCAAAGAGTACCCATATTATACAAGGATGCACAAATGCTCATTGGTCAGGCAAAGCTGGAACAGCTACGTCTCTTTTATGCCTTTCTGTCCAATACTAGCCTTGGTTGGAGGTGTTATTCTCGGAAAGCCATTCCAACCTGCAGTTCCCAAGATCTGTATACATGGCAGCTGCACAAGATCCCAAGAGTATCAAGTCATGGCAGACTCCATCTGGCGATAAGCTTCTTTCCTTCTTTCTCTGAACAGTGGTTGGAGATGAGAGTGTATGTAAATGCCTGGCATTTGAGCTGCCCTTTGCAGGCATAGAAGCTGTTACACTGGTACTTACTCCCAAGCAAAGAGACATGCAGAGAACTTAGTTGTGCTTAGTGTGCCTGAAAGCTGTTACTACAGAGCAGACATGCATACTTGCGTAGAATTGGATTGTATTTTGTATGCTTGGTGGGAAAATGGCCAAACTGGCCCTGCTCACTTCTGCTTTCCCTGCTGTTGTCCCTGCTCTGTGCCTTTAGCACTGCCAAATGGAGCCCCTGAGACTATCCCAAAATTGGATTGTAGCTCTGAGACTGAAAAACTTTCATTATCCTTGTGTACACCAAATACCAGAAGAAATATAATAACTGAATGGGAAATCTTGCAGCCAAAGGGAAGACTTCTTTCATCACTCCTGGTGACTGGCCTTACAGAATTAAGGCTAATCATTGTGTGTGTGTCTGTGTCTGTGTGTGTGTGTATTAATGCTAACTGCTAATTCCCTCCTTTTAAAAGAAGTAACAGAAGGGAAGAACTGAACTCAAACACACAAGGTGTTTAATAACCCTTAAAGAGAACCTGTTAATTGAAAATGACAACCAATAATCCCTGGCTTTTTTCAAACTGCACCCTGTGCCTCAACCCATAGACACCTGGGGTGGGTCGTCTGTGGGCATTTCCCTGAAATGCAGGAGACCAAGATGAAAAATTCATGATCTGACTCTCATCCCTTCTCACCCAAAATACGGGACTGTGGAGCAAGGTAGGCATCGCTGTAAATCCATGCCTGCTAGCTCTCTCTTCTGTGCACTTTTACGCTAGCATAGGCTAAGGGGGCCCAGTCCAGATCTTACGCGTCCCCTCCAGCCTCATGCAGGCGTCCAAATCACCTCCTTGCACCTACTCTAGACTAATATACAAAAAGACATAATGATAAAAACAGATTTACAGAAGTTTCTGTTTTAACTCAGGAAGTTGAGCTTTAAAATAGGACAGAAAAACCTTCCAGTGCTTAGGGGTCCCAATGGCCCCATGTAGAATTCTCTAAGCACTGCCTTATGTAATTGCCATGTATGCCTGCTAGATAATTAATACAATCCCTGCTTTAAAACAATTCTGTATATAAACTGGCTGTAAGACATTTTAACCATCCATACCAAGGGATTCTAACTTTTAGCTATTTCTCTTTTATACCATTTGTATGATATTGCATACACTTAGGATTAACAACATGCTTTCAATTTTTAGATCAAATAAATGTAAATCATGTCTTCTAAACCAGTAAACAAACATAACAAGATGTTCTTTATCTTCATTAGTTTTATAACTATTATGGAATGCAAACTTCACAACAATTTTATATTCTTGATACATCAAAGTTAGAGTTTTGGATTATTTTTCACTCTTCTAAACAATAAACACATTTTTTAAAAATGGCTCAGTTTATTCCACAAGGCAACATTCCTGGAAAAATGTGACTTTAATTGGATTTTTTTTTGGGGGGGGTGGCATTTTTCCATTAACAAAGAGAGCTCAGTAGCAACATATGGTAATATACAGAGCGTTATGCTGTTTAAATATATATTTAAAGCCAGTATGTCTGTGGATAGGCAGCATGTAGGTTAGGATCTACTGGCAGGTTTCTCAAAAAACAATATAAACAAATTTCTAGATTCTGCATGCGCTCAGAGATGCTCATTAATTTTAAGGATATGCATTTTGCACCTGACTGTAGTTGACAGATTGTGGGGATCTGGTAAAAAAGTGAAGTAGAGGCAACAAGGGTAAAGTCAATTAATGCGTACCATGTATACTGGCCCAGTTTAGATGATCATTGAGCAAAGATAGTGCAAGTCTTCTGCTTGTGTCTAGATTCATGATGTTCCTCCCTTGGTACAGCTGCAGTTAAATCAGAAAAGTTTTAATTAACTATGGTTTCTCAATTTATCTGAATCAGAGAACTGCAGACAACAGCTATTAAACAAGCCAGGCTATTAGGCCAGCTTCAAACAATTGTTTATATTTTGGCTAGTTCTGAAGCTGGTAACTATAGTCCCTGATTCAAATAGATTGGTAGACCATGGTTACTAAGAGGCATCTTGGCTTAATCATGGTTTACATGAAGAAGATGCATGCATGGGCAAAAGTTTCCTATATATCTCAGATTAAGCCAGAATACTATCATCTGCTCTTGGACATTGTAAAGATACTTTAAACTGGTGTTGTGATCCCATCCAAAGTGGTTATGTATCCCCTTCTTAGGTGGAAAACATCTAACTATAAACTGAATAGTATTTACAAAGGGGATCTGCTCACCAGAAAGAAGCCCTTAGCACATCAGTTATGCAAGGATATGTATTGCTTGTTGTTCTTTATTTCCATGAGCCCAAATTCACAACTTAAAAATGCTGTGCTTTTCCTTTTCTGCTTTAGGTTGTAATTTTTACGCTTTTTGTGGGGCACTTTTTGGAATAACATCAATGATGACCTTGTTAGCTATTTCAGTTGATCGCTACTGTGCAATTACTAAGCCTCTGCAGTCCATAAAAAGAACTTCAAAGAAGCGTTCGTGCATAATCCTTATATTTGTCTGGCTCTACTCACTGGGATGGAGCATGTGCCCACTCTTCGGATGGAGTATGTTACCTACTCTTTTTCTTTTTACCACTTACATTGTGCATGCCATATTGTGTGTACCATTTTTTCCTGTTAGGTAAATGTGGAATAGCCTGATGGCATTAGCAAATGCATTTCTTAATGTTCCTGGGACATTGTTTTCAATGGCAATTCTATTTCCAATGCAGTGGAGGATTTCTTATATTCCAGCTATGCTCAGTCTGAAGAAATTGGCTTGTGGGCTTAGAGCACAGCTCAGTCCAGATGCCTGTAACCTTCTGAAATCTCCACAAGGTAGAAGGGACTGCGAAGGCAAAGGTTACCTCCGTGCTTCTCCTGCCATACACTTAGAAAACTGATTTTGGTGCTATGAACATTGTAGCTTGGAGCACAAGGGAAAATCTTGGCAGCAGCTCTCTTCCCTCCTGCCCGCTCTACTGTCTCTACCCTGCCTCCTTCTCCAAGATCAGCCCCAAAGAGGCACCTAGGGCAGTTCTCTCCATGCCAGTGGGCACTCTGGGCTCAGCGACCCAGCAATGAAGCTTTGTAGCTGCTGCTTAAAAAAACATAATAGTCCTGTGGCTGCTTAGGGAATGTTTATCAGCCATAGGATTGCACTGTTGGAGATGTATAGGGTGGGCATCAATTGTAATTATTCATTATCTTTCAAATTAAGACTACTGCTGTATCAATTCTGAGTCTGCAGTATGAGGAGAGTGTGTGTTTTTGGAAAAAAGAGCAAAAATGTTGTGTGCTGCCTCAGGTGAGGCCACCCTTAAAGATGGCCTAGTTTTTAAAAAAATAAACTTCAGTGCCCTTGGGAAAGAACTTGTGTTTCAAATGCATTGGCCTCAGTGCTCAGTGTCCCATGGTGTTACTGCACAAACTCCGTGCAAGCAGAACTTTGCTGCACAAGTTTCATTACATTTTCAACAAGTTTAATTGAATTTTCCTCTTGTGCATAGTTCAGAACATAGTTTCTGCTAGTGCAATATTGTTTGCATTAAATGCCACAGCTGAATATTGTCCAATAAAATTTTCTTGTAACTCTCATCTTACCTTTTCCCCTCTATAAATGTCACTGCCAAGAATGTATATATATGATCCTTTCCCAGTTTTGCAGGGCAAGTAATTGCACTGGCATAATCCCACCGAGGTCCACAAATAAGCAGTGTGGTATGCAGGGATTGGGCCTGCCTCTTCCACAATACAGCATTCCAAGACTCTGAATCTGAACTGGGAGAAATGCTTAGGGAAATTTCCAAAGTCAATGAGCTGAAAGAAAGGCCAAGTGGTTTGTGAGCACCAGACTGACTCTGGTTTCTGGGGATGACACTGTGGAACAGGGAGGTTTGTAACTTAATCAGCCCTGTGGTTTAACACCAGGTCAGTTAAGCAGGCAAATTAAGTAACAACCTGCATTCATGCTGTCTGGCCCACAAGCAGCATGAATGTCTCTGGGAATTGAACCAGTTCTGTCTGGGGGTGAAGGGAAGAGGGAATTCAGTTTGAAATCTTCTGATTTGGGCAAATTCAACTTTCATATTCAGAGGCCTTGATTATTGCAGGCTTCTAGTGACCTTTATATTACTCTTTGTACCCATTATATCCTATCTGGCTAGCTTTAATATAATAAAACTGTGGTTAGAAGCTTCCAGCCTTAGTCTGCTGGGAAGAGAGAGATTTTGTAGGAGACACCAGCTGATGTCAGCTCATCACTAGCCACAGCCTGAAACTGGAGAGATTCTGTGGGATAAGCAAAGGAATGGGAGTTGTAGTCTAGAAGTGCATCTAGAAGTTAGGGATGGGCTGCTTTCAAGCAGGAACTCCATTCCTTAACTCATTTCTGAGGAACCACATTGGAGTTTTATTATTATGCTCCTGTTCAGGCCACACTAAATAAATACTTGAATGATGGGAACTGCAGCGCTGAAGTTCATTAGGCTTTTCCTCTGCTGTTTAAAGAGATATTTCCTACTCTTTGCTTTATTTTAGCGGTGTCTGTTGAGGTATGGAGGAGGATAGTAAAAGAGATGCTCAATGACCAGGGAGCCCGAGAGCCCTCTCGAGAGTATTGCATGGTGACATCAGTAGCAGCTGGACCAGCAGCAGCACGGAGTTGATGAGTGTTCCTGGTCCAGCAGCTCATGTTGCATCTGATATTCTTTTAGTGAAAATGTGTGAGGCATCCTCTAGCTGACACTTAGTCACAGATGCCTTTAGCCACCCTCTAACTCACCTAACCTTATGTCACTATTGTACATGGAATAAAATACTGAACATTATTTAAAAAGGTGTTTGCTTATTTAATTATTCATTTATTTATATCCTGCCTTTTTTCTCCTTTCAAGAAACATAAGAGACTTGTTTATCAATATCACCTATCTATCTATCCATCCCCTTTTCTTACAAAGAACCCAAAGCAGCTTACAAAATTCTCTCCCTCCTTCTCTCAGTCTTATTCTCACAACAACAGTCCTGTGAGACAGGCTGGGCTGAGTCTGTGCCTGATCCAAAGTCATCCGCTGAACTCCATGGCTAAGTGGCGACTAGAACCCGCATGTCCCGAGTTCCAGCCCAGCACTACGTCACACAGATAAGTGTTATATTCCTTCTTCTCAAGTAGGAAGTGGGAATATAACAAATGTAGGAAGACACTGGGTTCTTGGGTAAACTATTTACTCTTAAAAAGATGTTTAAACAAACATCTTTGTTTGCTGTTAAGATGTTTTAAGATGTGATTTGTATTTTTTTTAATTAATAAACCACTTTGAATTGTTCTTGCTATAGAGTGCTGTGGTATAAACTTGAAAGCATGTGTGGGGTTGCCTTTTAGCTGGAATGCTTGTAGATCACTCTTGCAGTGGCGTGGTTCATAGATAACACAAAGCCATAGTATGGATTGTTGAATTCTAAGTTGTTAAATATGGCATTCTCATGATATATGAAGGGTGCAGTGAAAAAAAAAAACAAAGAAGCACAAACAGCCCAGAAAGAGTACATATCGTTTGTTGCTAGGCTGTTTAAACCCTGGACAGTTGTTTTGTGTGAACACAAAATTGTAGGTTATCCATGGGTTCTTTCATTAGGCTATTGGTGGTACTCAGAAAAGTATAGTGCTGACGCTTAATTATAAGATACTTTTCTGCTTGTCTTTAAAAAGGCAGGTTATGTAATGTTCTAAATTGTACTGAGGTGACGCAGTGGTTTAATCTGCTGTGCTACTGGGCTGGTTGATCGAAAGGTTGCCGGTTCGAATCTGCACAACGGGGTGAGATCCCGTTCCTCCGTCCCAGCTCCTGCCAACCTTGCAGTTCGAAAGCATGCAAATGCAAGTAGATAAAAAGGTACCACTTTGGTGGGCAGGTAACAGCGTTCTGTGCACTTTGGTGTTTAGTCATGCCGGCCCCATGACCACAGAGACTTTCTGCGGACAAATGCTGGCCCCCTCGGCTAGGAAACGGAGATGAGCACCACCCCCAGAGTCAGGCATGACTGGACGTAACGTCAAGGGGAAACCTTTACCTTTACCTTAAGGATATAATATGCATGTTATTTGAATGGATTTAAGCACACACAGGATTTTGTGACACTAAGAGTCAGATGCCTCATTTATATGCAATAAAAATGCTATTAACAAAAGCTGTGCTTAATGACCTTAGCTTAGTACCCTAACTGCAAGTTGATGTTTTTCCTAATTAGTACAGGCATTTCCCCCCACCTTAAATGGAACTTATTTTGTTAGTACTTAGCTACTTTTGTCCCTACAAAGTATCCTGTCCTATTATTAAATGTTGGCATGATTAAGAAATGACATCAGGCTGTCTTACGAGGCATTTAATGACCAAGGCCTAGCTCTGAATGCAGGCTCCCAACAGCAGACTGCTGAGTTCACACACAGCCTCATTAATTCTGTCTCTCTTTCAGCATGAAAACATCTGGTACTGGGTTAAAAGCAGGGATTTTCTCCAGTGCCTCTGTTATTTGTAAACAGCAGTTATAGATGGGTTATTCTTCTCTTTGCTATAGCAAAGAGCATAAAATTTGTCATAACTGAGCAGTACTCTAAATAAACTAGATTGAGATTTGCATTGTTGGTTCTGTCGAGGATTTTCAAGCTATTCCTCATATGATCAAATCTCATATTATTTCCTTTAGGAGAATGTCCTGGTGTAGATCGTTTTAGCAAGGGCCTGCAGTAGAAGAATTCATGCTCCATTTTGCTGAGATGTATACTATTACCTTCCAGAGATACCAATTATTCCTGTCTGCCTCAAAAGCCACTGTGCACAGCAATGACTGGCTTGTCCCAGCATGTGGAGTAGTTTCAAGTGCGGGACTGGGACTCAGGAAATCTGGGTTGTAGTCCCCCAGTTGGCCATGGAGCTAATTGGATGACTTTGGGCCAGTCGTAAACTCTCAGTTCACCTACCTCACATGCTTGTTGTTATGAAGATAAGATTGAGAGGAGGAGGAGAATTATAGAAGCTGCCTTGCATTCCTTAAAAGGAAAGAGAGCAGGGTATAAATATAATAACATAAATAGATACTCTGTCCGACCAACCAGCAGTAACCACAGGCTGCCTGCCTCATTGACTTTTTTAGTGTTTTTCCTGGAGGCCTAGAATCTCACTTTCACTCCTTTTTTGCAGCAGTGGCAGTGAAAATATGACCCATGCCAAGTCTGGTGCAGGGAATAAGTGGACTGTCCAAAGTTTCATCGCCTTTCTGTAGACCATTTCCTGTATTGCTCCAAATTTTAGGTAGATAGGTAAGGCTTTAAATATTCAAGAACCTGGGCAGCCCACCTCCAGGAATGGGTACAGGGAGAAGACAGACTACCGAGCCTGTTCAAGTTCTGGCCAGTCTATCTGTCAAGTAAATTGCAAACGTGTGGGGTGAAAGGAGAAAGCTAGGCTTAAATTGCAGGAAAAATCGCAGGGAGTCTCTCTGCGCATACATCTGCATGTATATAGAGATGTTCAAAACAATTCTTGACATTCTTGCTGAACTAGCATTCTGAAGGCCTATTTATATTAGGATGAGCTCATTTATATTAGGAAAAAGTTACTGCATGGGACTTTTTAATATGCAATATGCATCACTATTTCATTCTATTTCTCCAATAAACCTATGAGACATGTTTACAGAAGCAAGGCTTCCATTGCTGAGTAAGATACTGGACCAAGTTTTTCTAGACAAATGTCAATAAAATCTGCTTATGGTTTTGGGAGATAGATAGATAGATAGATAGATAGATAGATATAAGCTTTCACATTACTAAATAAAGAAATAGGCTATTTGAAATTGGTTATTGATACAACATCCTGAAAGTCTGGTGTTGATAGAGAACTGAAACAGTGGTTTGTGATTCTATTTAGGGGCTCTGAAGTCTCTTAATTAAAATGGCATTACCTGCTGCTATAATGCAGATAAGCCTTGTTAATAAAGGTTTTGAAATTTGTATAAATAAAAGGAGATGACCGAATCTCTACTCTTTCCCATAATTGTTTCAAGAGGATTTCTTGCCTTCCCAGGAAGAATTAGCATACATACGTGAAGAACTGTAATTATTTGCCCATAGAAGACTGCTATGTTTTTGTTTTTAATACTTGCACATAATACATTTATTCTTAATAAGCTGGGTACGCAGGTGCATGTAAGCAGCTATGGGGAGTAGATAGTTCCAGAAGAGACTTGAGCTGTCAGCAAGCCCAGGTCTATTTCTCCTACTTGCTTGTAGGTGGGTGCTTGAATGGCTAATGCTGCGATTCTACACCTGGAAGTAAATCCAGTGCTCACTTGTTGCTCAGCGTGCTGATGTCATTTGCAACCCTGCTTGGCATTTGCTTTTCCCTCTGACCTTAGCTACAATTCCTACAGTGGCTAGGATGAAATGATTTCCCTAACAACAATATATTGTGCCCTGTTTAAGTGTACAGTATTTTGAAGTAGCTTGCTACTTTTATTGTCCAGTCCTCAGGGAATTAAAACTAGGGAGCTGGTTGTTGACCAGGATTAACATAAAGTAAGAGGGCTTTGAATCCAGTCCTCTGATTCACCCTAAATACCTCCTTTTTGGCCCTTACATCTGCAGAACTGGTGTGTTAGCAGGCATTTTCACTGCCAGGTGAGAGAGATTCTCCATCAGAGAAAGGGAAAGTCTGCAGTACAGTGTCTCCTGAAATACCTTCTACGACATGGGTCCTCAAACTACGCCCGGGGGCCGGATCCGGCCCGCCATGCCCATTCGGACCCACCACACACGTGCCCACTCCAGTGCCCGCCACCACCCACCTCGCCTTGCATGTGGGGAGGCAGTGGTTTGCTAACTCACAGAAAACGATCTCCAAGCGAGCAAGCTGCTATGTCGTGCGCCCGCCTCGCGGCATATGCCTACCCACCCTCTCATCTTGCCTCGTTGGGTGCCCCACTGCTGCCTCAGCCTGCCACCTACACATGACGCACCCGCACCTGCCCGCATGCACCACCAGCACTGGCAGCTTGCAACTGGCCCCTGGAGAAAAAGTTTGACAAACCCTGTTATACAGCAATGATGGCAAACATTTTAGAGACCAAGTCCCAAATTGTAACCCAAAACCCTCTTGTTTATCACAAACTTACAACCCTAAAATAGAACCTGGAAAAAAAACTCATAGCCAAAACAAGCAAATATGTATTTGTTCTTGGAAGCACACTGACCAGTCAGCCAAAAGCTTGGATGAGTCACGGCTAATGAGCTATAGCTCGTGATATCATCGACTGGCACAGTTAATCCTTTCTGAGTATGTGCATGGCCACTATCTGCACGACTATTCAATATTGGGCTGCTGGTGCAATCCTGGGGTGACCTGGCTTGCATGGCAACACAGAGGGCTCTGCGGGTCCACTGTGGCACAGGTGCCATAGGTTGGCCATCGCTGGCATAACCCTACCCTGGCACATACCCCTAACCCTAGTACAGGGCTAAACTTCCATTGAAAAGAGGGTGATTTTGAAGAAGCGTTCCTTGGGTAGCTTTTTCTGCACAGCTCTACATTTCTGCATATTCTAAACACACTCCAACCATCAAAACTATGCCAGGACTCCTCGTTTTCCCAACCCTAACCCTACCCTGGTGCAGAGCCCTAACCCTAATATAGGGCTAAACTTCCATTGAAAAGAGGGTGATTTTGAAGAAGCGTTCCTTGGGTAGCATTTTCTGCACATCTAAACACTTCTGCCCATTCTAAACACATCCCAACCATCAAAACTATGCCAGGACACCTCGTTGTCCCAACCTTAACCCTACCCTGGTGCATACTCCATCCGTAATACAGGGTGAAAGTTCATTTGAAAAGTGGGCGATTTTGAAAGAGCCTTCCTTGAGCAGCTTTTTCTGCACAGCTCAACGTTTCTGCCCATTCGAAACACATTCCAACCATCAACACTATGCCAGGACACCTCGTTTTTCTAATCCTAAGCCTACCCTGGTGCACATCCCTAACCCTAATATTGGGCTAAAGTTCAATTGAAAAGAGGGCAGTTTTGAAAGAGCCTTCCTTTAGCAGCTTTTTCTGCAGGGCTCAACGTTTCTGCCCTTTCTCAGCACATTCCAACCATCAAAACCATGCCAGGACACCTTGTTTTTCTAACCCTAACCCTGTGTTGGTGAACCTTTTAGTGACTCAATGCCCAAACTGCAATGCAGAACCGAATTATTTATCGCATAGGGCCAACACTGCAACAAAACCCGGAAACTGAAGTGTTAGTTTGGATAATAAGTACTCACAGCCAGTCCAACAAATATACATATGTCCTTGGCAGTGCCCTGACTGGCCATGCTAAAGGCAGGACGGGTCACTGCTACTGAGTCGCGGCTTGTTATGTCATCGCCTTGCACCACTACTCCTTTCTGAGCATGTGCATGGCCCCTGTGTACCCTGTTATCTGATTTTCGTCTGCTGGGGCGACTAGGCTTGTGTGCCGACAGCGCGGGCTCTGCATGCCACTGTGGCTTGCGTGTCGTAGGGTCTCCATCAGTTTTAGGGTGTTGGAACGTTTAAGTTACTTTCCTCCTTAATGCATGGACAAGTTCTTGCATGTCGTCTCACACATGAGGAAAAAGAATAACAATAATATTAAAGTAAAACACATACTAAAATCACAACAATTAACAACAACTACTACAACAAAATAAATACCAATAGGAATTGAGTCCAAAAAGTGTTCAGTTCTAATCTCATAGCTGATATAAAAGGGTTTGGCATATTCAATAGAAAAAGGATTATGCACTTCTGGTGAACATTAACAGCCTGTCAAGGTCAGCACCTTAATATTTGTATAGATTCCTATGTAAATAAATGCTCTTCTATTTGAAAGAACAAAACTTTCTGCACATAGAATCTGGGAGTAGTTCACCTAGCCCTGGAGTGAGGAAATTCAAACATGTCCCAGAAGAAGTGACAGAACCCACATCAGTTGAAATTATGCACCTTCTTAAGAGCATCTTCTATTTAAAAGTAATTCACTGTAAACATGCATAAGATCAAGTGACAATATACTGCAACAGAAGAGAATCAGAAGTATAGGTCAGCCTTCCCATTGTCTTGAACTACAATGCCCAGCATTCCTGATCATATTGGAACTGGAGGGCACCAGGTTATGAAGGCTGTAGTAATCTTTTATTCAGTATTTCTGGTGCCATACATTTATGCCACAAAAAATGAATTAATATTTAAGGTGATGCAAAACTCATTGTTTTTATTGCAGCAGACTAACACATTGTATCCCTTAACTGACAGAATCATATGTCTGTTCTTATTTATGAACCCTATAATATAATGTATATGTTCATTGTTCTCAGGTTCCTATATACCAGAGGGTTTGATGATTTCCTGTACATGGGACTATGTAACTTATTCACCAAATAACAGAAGTTATACCATGATGCTGTGTTGCTGCGTGTTCTTCATCCCTCTGATCATCATCTTCTATTGCTATATATTCATGTTTATGGCAATAAGAAGTACTGGCAGGTAAGCAGGGCACTGAAAAATATTTCTTTGCCTAGAAGTCAAGCATATTCTCACAGATGATCATTCTATAGATTTCTTTCTACTTATGGCTTTGTGTAAAGCCTGCTGAATGACATAAGGCGATAAATAAGAGGAAATGTTTTGGGTGTGCTTTCATTGTCTTTTTGTCCTTAATGATAAGCAACATTTGGTTCTTAAATCAGTAACTTTTTTTTTTAGACAAAGGTTTGCAATGATTACTTGGGTAATAATTTTTGTGTTGGGGCAAGTGATTAGAGATGCAGGGTAAATAAGCTGTTATTTTTTCACTGAACCACTTTCTAGAAGCATGAACGGGAAGAATGCTTGCTTTGTAGATGTAATACGAAAAACAGCAACTAATGTGTTATATTTGCTTCCTCTTCTGCATGCATCTTGTGTAACACCCAAATGCAATTTTGCAATCTCCCTTCATAGTTAGAGATGCTTTAAGAAGCTGCACATATCATGAAGAGAGATGTAAAAGTTCCACTGTAAATGTTACAAATAATGCGGGGAACCAGAAATGCAAATTAATTGCACTTCCTTTCCTGCCTCAATGCAGATGCCCCATCCCAAGCTACCCCTCAGCAGAGGTTGACTCTGCTATATTTCAAAGGATAGGGAAGAAACAGCATACAAATCAGGGAAGGTGTGCAAATTATCTCTTTTTCTGAAGTGCTGGAGTATATGGAGTATATTGTGTATAAATTGCTGGCTGTGTTGGTTATATGTTGGTTACAAGCTTGATGGTGACTTGGCCAAGCAATGTGTCCCTACAAAACCTACTAGAGTGCAAATGAGGAGAGGCATTGGCAGTTGTAGGAATGGGGATAAACAGAGTTAAAAGCACATACCTTTAGTTGCCTGATACTCCCGCAGCCCAGCTCTTTAGAGAGGAAGACTGAGTGAAGCAGCTACAACTGCTCTGCCTTCCTTACTCTCAGTGCCTCAGGGCCATGATCCAAAATGGGTAGGTCCCAGAGGCAATGGGAATAAGAAAGGATTGGTAATGACAGCCACTTCTCTTGCCATGTAAGCAATAATTACAAGAGAGGACGCTAGCATCTGCTGGAGTGAACTCCCAGGGCACCAGCATTTGTCCCACCTGGCTAGGTGCCGACTGCAGACCTGGATGAACGTATTCTTAGTCACCGAAATGCCTCCTGCTCTTTCATTCACAGAAATGTCCAGAAATTAGGATCCAGCTATAACCGGAAATCCTCTGTCTCGCATTCCATAAAGAGTGAATGGAAATTGGCAAAAATCGCCTTTGTGGCCATTGTAGTTTTCGTCCTGTCCTGGTCTCCATATGCGTGTGTTACACTGATTGCGTGGGCAGGGTAAGTGGCAAGCTACCTATGAAATCATTTTGGTCAGAAGCAGGCCAAGGTGGGGTGAGGGCATGAATCCAGATGTAAAAACGCATTCCTTGCCTGACTGCTCACTCGCTCGCTCGCTCTGTGAACGAGGCTTCAGTGCAACGCATTTTGTCATCTACAAGGAACAATATCTATCATGAATGTCTCGGAACGTCACACAGAAAGAGCGTTGCTGTGACAGGCTGAGGCATGGAAATTCATTGCTCCAAGTGAGTAAAGAAGAAGCAGTGATAAAGCTATGGTGCAGCTTGAAATTCGAAGTGCATGCTCTAACTGATAGATTTTTTTCATCGCACTTGCCATATACTTGCGGGTGGCGGTGGATGCCTCCTTGTCTTTCCTCTATATCTTCTTTTGCTTATGTGCATGCTGGCAGAGTTGGGCAGCAACCTCGGTTAAAAACTGCTCTCCCACGTGCACAGTTCTGAATAAAGAGATCTTCAGTTTTCCATTTCAGTCCCTGTGTGAACTGAAATATCTCCATCATTTCACAAGAGCTAAAATAACCACCTAGTTAGAGGTGATTTTTCCCTAAAATATTTTTTGCAGGGAAAAAAAGGGGGGAATCCAGTGCTCTGTGCTGCCACACTTTTCAGATGCATAATGCATTTCTGGCTTGATGTCAACCCACCCTTCTGTTTGCATATGAATAATCACTTGCAGAGAACTGGTTCAAAATCTCAGTAATCGTGAAGAAATTTAAAACTTCTCCCAATGTTTATTTGGAACCGGCCATAATCATGAAAATTATGCACAGCTTAAGATAATTAAAGGCCTCTAAAATATATGTATTAGCTGAGGAATTGCAGGAGACGGGAAATCTCAGTTCTTGCCCTTGATGCAGGACATTTTTTTTCCTACTAAAGTAATTGAACTTTTCTCAGAGAAGCTGGGGTTTAGTCTCCAGAGTGCTATGCTCTGTGTCTAGAAGAACATCACAGAGCCTGCTTGGAAAAACCTTTCTGATGTTGGAGACGGTATGCAACCTTGGAAGGGAGAGCTAGAGATCTCTGCCCTATCACAGCTATCACAAAATGAACCATATTGGCTGCCTTCCAAGGACAGAAAAGTGACCTTGAATATGGGGATATTCCAGTGGGGAGAAGACATTATAGATCAAGATGCAAGATATCCTAACTCTCGTCTATCCTTCTTCATTCCCCCTCCAAAACAGGCTCACTAGGCAGGCTGAAAAGCCTGTCTAGCCAAAGGTACCCACAAGGAGAATGTGCTTCACCTCTCCTACTCTCAGCCTCAACTTAGCTGAACAAAGGAATCTTGGAAGCTTGCAAGTGCAAGTGCCCTTTAGAAATACGATTTTTTCCACTCCCCTAAAGATGTTTGTCAGAACCTCACAGCTTCACACACATCAGGAAAAAGCCAACCAATTTTGTGCTTAGCTAATGAAAACTTTCCCCTTATTTCTAGCTATGCCAAGATCTTAACTCCATATTCCAAATCTGTGCCTGCAGTTATCGCCAAAGCTTCTGCAATCTACAATCCCATAATCTATGCAATCATTCACCCAAGATACAGGTATGGTGGATGCAGCCTTCTGACTAATTTATTTGAAGATAGGTATGGTTTTAAATGAATTTGGACGGTCAAAAGAACACCTTTGCATGAACACTTTCACTTGAATCTTCCATTTGTGTCTGGATATTCGTATGAACTTAACCAGCATTTGTACTCATACACTGAGATGTATAAAATAATTCTGTAGGGTAACCTTGGGAGGGTCCCCCAAACAGCTTGTCATGATCCTTACTCAAATGCTACCCAGTCCCGTGTTACATGGAAGCTGCATGTGTACTCACAGTTAAGGCACAGGAGGGCAATTGCCCCTGCACGATTACATGTCTGTTAAGAAGTGAGGCAATTCACCCTTCCTCCAAGACAATTCACCCCAATCATGCCCCTCCCCTGTTAGGAGTTTTGCAACCTCACAGAACAATGTCCGAGGCCTGCTTTCCAAGGTCAGGAAGGAGCAAGAGAGGAGTGAATCAAGATGATGAGGTTCAGAGAAAGCAATCTTCCTCTCTGCTTTCCGCACACATACGCACATTCCAGCTTGTTCTGAATGTCCACAGAAAGACCCAAGCATGCCAGAAATAGGAGGAATAACCCAGATCTCATTCCAGTGGCATGAGATCAGTAAACAAAGCTGTAAGCTGCAAGTTTGAATCAGGAAGTGAATGTGGTGACCCCAGGAGGCAGTATGAGATGGAGGGGCCCCATTGAGGAGCACAAGCCAGGAACTCTGCACACCCCCTGGTCCACAGCCTGGTGCATATGGGTCTCATCAGCACATAACAAGGCCTAAACACCTTTGCACTAAGCTCTGTCCATTCCCCCTCTGCTACCCCTGTCCAGGATGTATAGGGGAGGACAGCTGTTTGTACCCAGGGGCTAAAGTCTAGGGGCGATAGGAGTCTTAGGCCCTGGAGTTTCCTGCAAATGAAAACATGATGCTCTAAGGCTATGGATGGTCTTGCATAGGATATGAGTTAAATATGTAATTGTTCCTCCAACTGCATTATCACTTTTTTGAAACCTTCGCATCTGCTTAATCCCATTTCTCCTTCAGTTTAAGTAACTAAGAATGAATTACCAGGTGAGTTAGATAAGTTCATGGAACACAGTTGCAGCAAAGTCAATCTCTGTTTTACCTGAAATGTTTAAGTGCTTTCCCTGGGCTTTATGCTGGATTCTGCTGAAACACTTCACAGTTCATAGCAGGATATCTCTCCAGTGATCTGGCTAGTGTCTCAGTTGTTGGGAAACTTTGCATATTGGAACCTTGGTATTCAAACTGCATTTGAATATAGCATTTGAAGAAGACACTCCAAAATGTATTTGCCTGGGGACTCTTCAGCCCTCTGGGAGCAGGTGAGCAGTGAACTCTGATGCCACACTTTGTTCTGAGCATGACTGGAAGAAGCAGAAGTAAATTAATTATGCAAAACAACTAAATGCATGCACGTTTTCTTCCTCTGCATAATTTACATAGATTGTAGAATGGGTTTACCCTAATGCCAATTTTTATTGATTTTTTTCCTTCCAGTCTGCTATTCCTAAATTAACAAACTAACTTTAAACTCGCTGTCACTAAGTGCTACATATTCTTCTCAGCACAGTTCTGCACTCACCCGGTACTCCAAGATAGCTTGTATGTATTTTAGCTTTGCATGACCTTTTCCAGAAACCACTTGGAAGAGGTGTCCTTGGAGTGGTGAGAAGAATGGAGTGAAAAACATGTAATTATTTTGAAATTGAAAGAAGGATTATAAATGTGTAGCAACCAACATATTGAATCCCAAGATCACTGCTACCAGATAATTATATCTGAACATTACAAAGGCACTACTGCAGCAGTTCAACTGAAGTGAGGACAGCTTGCTAGTTTGTTTTTTAAGTGCAAATGTTTTCCAAGAATTCACTGTGGACTTCGAAAAATGCCTTGCAGGGATAGACAATAGCAGCCTTTCTATTAGGCATGCCATAATTGATTCCATTTGGTCTCATCTATTCCTCCCTGAGACGTGTTGAGTTTCTTCATCTCCTATCTACATCAGATTGGTCTCGAAGATGAAAATGAAAACAATCATGCAAACTTACCATGAAATACAGCAGAATCTATTCCTCATGAAGTTAGAGTGCCTTGACAAAAAAAGCAGAATGTTCTTTTCTTTGTTCTTTCTCCTTATTTGGTTGTGATGTTAATTCTAATAAAAAGGAGATGACATTTTAGGAATAGTCCATGATTGTTTATAAATATCCTACAAAATCTAATTACAATCTACATTGTAGACTTTAGTAGTCAAAATTGTAAAAACACCCAGGCGTTTTACTTGTTTCTGCTATCCATTTTCAGTAGGAAGACTAGCTTGTTATGTGTTGATACAGGAGAAAAGAGAGAAATGGTTTTTCTCACATATTATTTGTACAATATAGTTTCTGCAAAACTAAGCAATAACAATATCCTTTCTGGTTCCTGACTCCTCACTAAGCAGATCAGAGGAAGCTGCATTAGCTGGTCTAGGGACACAAGCAGCCAAGCTCCCAGGAAGAGCAAGCAGGAGGTGGTGGAGGTCAAGGGGGAGGTTCCTAATGGGTTTTTAAATATGTTTTCTCCCTGCTACCCTTAGTTTACATACCCTTTGTTTTCTTTCTTGCAACACACTCCATTTACTGGTAGGATTATACTGGTAACCTTTAGGGAAGGCAGGAGAAAGCACTGGTTGTCACAACTGGCCCAACAAGGTAGAATGAAAAAATTAGCAGAAAAAATGAACCAAGAAGTCTCCTCAGTATTGGGATGTCTTTTTGGCAAGCCGCCATTCAAGGAGGAGAGAAGGGACAATTCTAAACTGTCTTGCCATGTTCACATATTCTCCAAGTGGTCTTATCTGTTAGACATTTGATTGACTTTTTATTTTCTCCTGCCTTTCAGGAGAACCATTCGAAGTGTTGTTCCATGCTTAAGATTTCTTATACGGATATCAAAAAGTGATCTTTCAACAAGTTCTATAAATGAATCATCATTCAGGGCTTCTGTGTCCAGCCGCCACTCTTTCACTTCTAGGAACAAGAGCGGTTGTGTTTCCTCCATTTCTGCTGCAGAAACAGTAAGTTGTTTCCATGGTTTACCACAAGGGCACATTGGGCACATTCACAAGCACCTCAGCAAATTATGGATTGATTGATTAACCCATGAGATGCCATCATGCATGTTGGATACCTTCCAATCCCATTTTTCATATGAAATACCTAATCGGGACACTCAGAGGTGCTACATGATGTTCTAACCCTGCACAGTGTAGGTTCACCATGGGTGATGCAATGCACATTTAATTGCAGATTAACTGTAGCTTGTTTAACCCTAACCCTAACCTATAGAGGTTGGTTAAGACATCACATAGCACCCTCCAATCAGCCTGATCAGGAAAATGGTGGTGGCACATAATGCTGAGGCAAATCATGGATTAATTAAGTCAGATTTACAACTGTTACATGCGAATAGGCCTTACGGTTTCCAGAATCTGGTATTCATAGGTGCCTACACTGGCCTTTTTTCTTACAATCATTTATGTAAACCATGGACTGCCCTCCTACTGCATTTGTCAACCAGCCAGGTTTGTTTTCTCAGTCCCTAACTTAATTGTTTCTGTTCTCCCTCAACTGCAATCTCTGTATCCCAAATGCCTTTGGAGTGCTACAGTAATGGCATATTTTTTGACCTCTGCTTCTGTAGTCTGATGAAACAGCCCATAAACAATCCATGGTTTTCAGTTCATATGTAATGACAACTCAAGGTTTAAACAATCCAAAATTCAGAAGCAAACACCAAACCATGAGTTCTTTGCCAGAGCCATTCTTGGTTAACAAATTATGGTTTGGGAGCATGGCTTTGTTAAGATAGCGTGATAGTCCAGAATTCAACTATCAATGCCAGGCATGTGTATGATGCTCAGAGTTGGCCATTTTGAGACTGCTGGGTCATTTCATATGATGAAATAAACCAACTTTGGTCTGATTCAGAAATACAATTCAAATGCAGTCTTGCTTCTCCCTTCAGGTACCAAGAAGTTATCTTTACAGACTTATTGCTTTAAGCATAGGTTGCAAAAGTTGGAATGTATATTCAAACAGTGCTTCATTGTACAATCTTTAGCAAAATAGATAAGTCAAAGTGACATAATGATATTGACACAAATTAGATTCTCTCTTGCCTTCCCTTCTGGAGCCAAATGATTTTAGTTCACTAAAAGATATATTTACCTCCAGTATCAGAGACAGAGTGTCTCTGAATAACAGTGGATGAGGAATAACAGAGGGAAGGCGCTGTTAACCTCCTGGCCTGTGTGTGGGTTTCCCATTGGTATCTGGTTGACTGCAGGATGCAGGATTAGGTGAGTCTTTGGTCTTACCAGCAACGTTCTTCTTACATAATCTAATGCTGCTTTTCCGTCTTGTATGCACATGCGTGCACACACCTCTACACACATTTTGAGCAGGGTTCTGCTTTTAATGTTCCGTCTCCTAGCATGCTTTTCTAGTTAAATATTTGGCAGTTAAAAAAAGCTAATCCAGAGCAGTGGTGGTTTGATCAGAAACATTTCAGAGTGAGGGCAAAGGGTGGTTTCTTTGATTGCAGCAAAAGTCATCCAGACAGCGCTCTGCAGAATTAGATGCTGGAAACAGCGAATCCAGTAACTGGCCAAGTATCATAGTGCAGGTTTATTACGAAAAGGAAACTTTTAAAAATAGCTATTACTTTAAAAACAGGAGGCAGGGTATATGAAAAAATGAATCAAAACATTCTCTATCAAAGCAAAGATAACTATCCAGAAATAAATTTTGAGATATGTTAAAATCATCACAGTTTATTATATAACTGTGAATGAGGGCTGTAGTTCTGTGCTAGGTTGAGTTCATGACTCTACACATAGCTGAGTGCAGAATTCTATTACAAATGCTATTACTCAGACTCCCATCAGTCCCAGCCAGCATGGCCAATTACTAGTGGTGATGGGAGCTATAGTCCAGCAACGTCAGGAAAGTCAGAAGTTCCTCACCTCATCAGTGAGCAGATTTAGCCAACAAACCTACACCTACTTATCGACAAGTAAATTCCACTGATGACCTGCAGGGTGGTTCTTTGCACACCTAGTTCCTAGTTCATGGGCACTTGCTTAATGCAAAACCAGTTTTTATGTCCATGGAGGAAAGGCAAAAGTACTGCACTTTAACACAAGGATTCCTTCCAATTTCCATTTTAGGTATGGAGTGATGTGAAGCTTAACACTGTAGAGACAGTCCATACGAAACTGCAACCCTATCGAAGCAGCTCTCTTTCAGAAAAAGCAGAAGATGAAAAGAGCGAGCTGCTTCTGAAGGCCCACAGAAGCAATGCAGCAGCTGAAGAAAAGGTGAAAGGAATAGCAGTTTCTAATGCTCCTTCCTTATAATAACATTTCAGAGGAAAGTCCTCTTTGCATATAATCTGGAATTGTTGCCACATTAGGATGTTAAAGACATTCCACCTGTGGTTTCTCAGACTGCTGTGTCCTTCATGCAGAATGTGTAAGGATGTACGAGAATTTTATTCCTGTACACAAATCCCACAATTTAAAAACATGGTCTACAGATCCATAGAATCAATGTGATTTGGAAAAAGATGATCTACTGCAGAATCTGTTAGTCATATTCATAAAAATCTGAACTCACTTGAATCCATTTCTCCAATGCCCCTACCTTACATATTATAGGTCTATTGTAGAAATTAGTTTCTTCTAACCCATTCCAGCTTGGTTCCTTTTCCTTCTGTTCATAAGCACAAAACAAATGTCTTATATAATAGGCAACTTGAATACTGCCCTATCCAGCTCAGATTGTGGGAATGGATCCCAATTCCTCCGTGTTTTCCTCTTCACCACTCCTTCATAGACTCAGTAATTAAACATTACCTCCATCTGCTTTGAACCTCTCTTTCAAAATGGATGCAAAATGATGGGAACCATTTCTTTCCTTTTTAAAAAATGAAATATCTTGTCTTTGAGGGGGAAGAGGAAAAAGAAACTCCCATTTCTCACTGAGTGTGGGAGACTGGCAGCCTCCACCTTTGGAAAACTGAAGATGGTGAGTAATCTGTGCACCCTTTGCTGATGCAAAGAGAACTGGTGGCAAATACACCACAGTTCTATGTCATTCTCAGAAGCCTTCCTTTGCACACATGGAAACTTCAGGCAATGACATTGCAGCTGGGGTGCACATGTGTGCACAGCGTATGTAGGTCAGATAGTCCATAAAGGTTCCAATAATGCTGCCTGTAACCCTCCAAACTCAGAGGATTACGGGCATCTATACATGCTGGGAAGAACATGGAGGTAAATGTCACCTCCATGCACTTCTGACCATGCAAAACTCAGCTGATTTTGGCTCAAGTGTTTAACCCCTGGAATATGACAAGAGGCTGAGGCACTCCCAGGATCCCATTCATGCTGGCAGAGCCTGTCTCTGCCCCTTCCCAGCCTGTCTCTGTACCCAAAGGCCTGTCCTCAAAGTCATTCCTGAGACCTCGTTGCTGCAGCCAACACATTCCTTTCTACACCAACTGCGAGGGCAGGAGGAACATGCCCTAAGAAAATGCTTAGAGGCAGTTTCCAAAGTCAGAGTTGAGATTCTAAAACATTCTATTGCTATCTATTCTGATGGCCTTAGGATTGTTCTCAACCTGTATTACAATGCTGTGTAATTACACCCTGTTGCAAATTCCCAGAGGCCATAATTCAAGGGGTGCTTTGCCAACTGAAGGTGATTGTGGCATCTCTTCCAGGAGAACAGTGTAATTTGGCTGAAGCTGACTGAGTATGGAATGTTGACTTTGTTCCTTCTTGTTTCCCCTCCCTGGCACCCCTTTGACAGGTTGCAATGTCCTGCATCAGTCTAGAGAAAACCCTTGGAAGATCCCTCGGAGTGCACATCACAGAAATGCCTCTCATGAGCAATTGCTTAAAAACATCTTCTCTTCCACTTGGCTTGAATAGTAGCAGTACTGGGGAGAGTACAGACACTTCTCAAGCAGAAGCTCAAGAAAATGAAATAAATGAAAGTCTGGACTCCTTCATAAGCCCCAGCCTTCCACAAATTATTATCATACCTACCTCAGAGACCACCTGCTCTGAAGGGCAAGCTGAGCCAAAAAATGGACCAGAGGAGACCACTGATTTACTTTTCTCTCAAGGGAAGAATCACCTGTTGGACATAGGAAGGCTCAGCTCCTCCACTGACCTCCTTGAAGCAGTTGAGAAGCTCCTGTCCTAAAAATAGAAGAGAACAACTATCGGTCTTTGGCTGCTTCTTTGCATTATTATACCAAAACAAAAACTGAGAGCCTTGTAGATGAAAATAGAACTATTTATATTTCTTGTAATGCAGTCTTTAGACATTCTTGAATTTTATGCACTTTGCAAAAGCAAAGCACAGTGATAGATGCTGAAAGCCCAAAGCAATCGTAGCTTAAAAACCAAGTATTTGCCAACCAAATCAGCTAGAAAGTATTTCTCAGTATATACATTTGGGATAGATTTTCATGCTTTGATACCTTTCCGAATACTGCAATTACTGGAATGCCTCGTAAGGAAATGCCCTGCCATATCTCCACATACTAAGGCTTAGCTCATGAAAAATAGTCTGAGAATAGACCTTGCATTCCTTAATATGCTATCTCCTGGAATTGGTCCTTCTCCAATTTAATTCCAGCTGAAAGCTGATGGAGCAAGTGGAGATGTTTGGAAGCACATGCTGCAGTTGTTTGGCAACCAAGAATCTGCCAGTCTTTTATCCTACATAGTAGCTAGTTCACTAACTCACCCTGAAACTATAAGCAGAGAAGGAAGAAATAAGAGCGACAAGAGAAAGGGTACCTCTAAGGTGGCCATTAGGGATAATATACTTGGGAGAAACTTTCCACTTCAAAGGATGATAAACTTAGTAGGAGGGGTTGCCATTAGGAATGAAAGTGTCCAAACCATGCACAGGCAGAATATAATATAAGCACTTCTTAAATACAGATATAAAGATCTCAGACCTCATAATCACTAGTTATCAACACTGTCTCCTTTCCTGTGGGCAGAACTAGATGAAGAGATAAGGGGAAATAAGGCTATTATGCAAAATGAATGCAGTAATTCCTTTCTTATCCCTAAGGAATTCTAACAATAGTAGAAAAGAAGTCTTAGATTGTGGCTCACAGTGTATGTCAATAATAAAGGAACTCACTGTTCAATTTTCACAAAAGCCTTTATTCACTAACGGCAATAAAAACATTTCACTGCAGCAAGATGGTGGTCTTTTTGCAGCCAATCGCAAGCTTTCTGATGTTTCCTTTAGGAGGTTAACACATCCTATGTATATATTCTGGGGTACTGGAAGAAGCTAGGACAACAGTGTCTATATATAAGTTGACATTCTGAGATTTTTACATAATATATACCATGAAGTATCCATAGGTTTTGGCCAATAATTTGCAAATACGGTCCAAGTATTCATGGTGGTAATAATATACCTAACATATATTTGAGAAGGTGTTGGGTATATTTGAGAAGGCACCTGTGAAGGTGCATGGCCATCATCATTTCTATAATGGTCACTGCCTCTGACCCTGATCCTTCCACAGAGAAGAAAATGGCAGAATACACTCAGCACCTTGGCTGCACTTTTCTCCTGAATTAGATTGATTCATGCAAAGACTCATGCATATCACTTCAAATGTAACCTCAGAAATCAGCATCACATGGGTACAGTTCACACAAATATGACAAGCCTGAATACAGAATGTCTCAGAGTACTAATAAATCATGGCTTGTTAACTGCAAACATGGCATAGTTAACATCCTGACCATGGTTTTTCTTTGTCAGCTGTTGATGATTGACAAACCATGTATAGTGTAGTTCATCATCAACAATCCATTTGTTAGTGGGATTCACTCAACGTAATAACCCATGATTAGGTAACAACTATACTCAACCTACAATTTGGATTATTCTGCTGTGTGAACCAGGTAATAGAAAAAAAGCATAGGATAAATTCAATGCAAATCCGCAAAATCTTTAAGCTTGCACTGAAGAAAGGAAATTAAGGGGTGTATGGGATATCCACATTTCCGTGTGGAGGAAAAGGCTTAGCTTTAGTGCTTGTACCCCTTTGAGAAAATCATTTATTCCACTCTTCTATTTTTGCCCATTGGTAATTGTCATATTTAGTGCTTTCCTAGGAATGTATGTTTGTTTGTTTATTGTCAAATACTCATTTCTCTTGCGTTCACTACAGGTAAGTGTGCATAATAGGGATGGGGAAGTTCCATAAAGGAAATGGATTTGATCTATCAGAGATCTCCCTGATCTCTGTTCATGGCAACTGGAGATAAGTCTCGCTTAGTTTTGTTGACATGCAAAGGCTTGCCATGTTTAATAGTGAGCAGATGTAGAAGGATTTGTATTTGGGAAACTGTTTCAAAGAGCTGCTGTGTGATTCAGCTGTATTTCTTCAAACACATGTAGAAGACTTGCCTTGTTTACTCACTGATGATAACATTTTTGGTCTTGCTCACAGAAAAAAGGCGGCCCACTGAGATATTTCCTAGATCAGCGTCCAGGCCCAAAAAGGGCTACCCTTCCCTGGTGGCTTACACTAAACGAGCCTTCTCCAGCCTGATTTCCTCCAGATGTCTCACTGCCCGAGGATGATCGGAGTTGTGGTTACACTAAATACTGATGAAAACATTGAGGGCCCTTCTTTTAATAGTAGTATCTGTTTGTCAATTATATATAAGGGTACTATGACCATTTTGGGTATTTGGCTTTTGCAAACCTTCAGGGGTGATCCTTCTAATACACATTTACCATCTGTGATATATTTGGCTTTACATTGGTAAAAAGAAATATCTGGGCCCTGATTTCTTTTCTCATGCTGTTTTGGCTATGACCAGTTCTGCTTTTCTGAGAGTAGTACAAGCCAACTACACAATTAATTTAATTTCCTTTCTAAATGCTGATGAGGAAATCCTTCCTAAAGAGTGCCCTAGAAGTTGAGACTGATTCTATCATCCTTTTTAAGTAAGGATGAGGAAGAGAGATTAATTAAAGGGAAATTGATCATGGGTAAGCTTGGACAGCTGATTAGGATTTATTTTTTATGATCCACTGGTCCCAAGTAATTCCACAGCTTATTTCATACCATTGTATATTGCCTGTAATGCCACATCTAGTTAATCTTCAACAAGTCTCAAGTCACTGTGACCTCTATCTATGTCTCTATTGCTGATGAATGTGCAGATAACCATGGTATAGTCCTTGGCTACAATACTAAATTTGGAGCGAACCCCCAGAAACTTGGCCTTTTAGATCATGCTGACTAGATGGAACCCAACACGTACTCAATCGAGCAGGCTATATGTTGGATGTTCTTTCTGGTTATTTATTTCAGCAAGGCTTACTTCCACAGAAATTTATACATTTGAAAATTTTCCCTGGCATCCAACAAATTACCAAACCCACATTTAGGATGCCGATAGTTGGTTCAGGGATGTCAGTTATGCTTACTGTGCCCCATGCTAAACTGTGCAGACCGCCTAGCTTTCTTTCCATGGTGTGTGAATTGGGATCAATATGCAATATCACTTGAAGAAAATTTTTCCTTCTCTTCCTTGTCTCTCTGGCTACTCAAGTTTGCTGTATGTGCCTCTGCAGCAGAAATCGACACCCCTGCTGTGATGAGATTTCCATTCATACCATTTCTTGCCTTGCAAAGTGCTTGTGTTCACATACATAGACAAAGTAAAATATCCAGAACTAAATGGAGATGGAAATGAGAGTGGCTGGGGGTTTTATTTTCTTTCTTGAGTAATTTAACAAAAAAGACCGCCCCCTCCCCATGACTGTTCCAAAGCCCGCTTCTCTTCCTTGCGCAGCTATGCCTGTATGCATGATTCACCCACCTTAGGTAAGCACACAAAGACCAGTGCAAGACCAGGGAAATTTAGAGTGGGGGGGGGGTTACATTTCCCCACTCCTTTTTCCATGCTGAAATTTTCCTCTTTCAGCAGGGAATGTTTTTTTGTTTTGTTTTTTTAAGAAAAAGACTTTTTTTAACCCCTTCACATGGTGGGGGAAGGATTTCAGCATGAAAACAGGTGGGAGAAGCTTGAAATTGGGGCCATGTGCACTTGCTGAGAGCTGCGTCAAAGCACACGCACAGGCAGCAATGCCAACCCAGGTCATAGGGGGACAAAACCAGAGGCGGCCCAATGAAGTGCTGAGCTACAAGAGGGGAAGGGGCAGAGAGTGCTGTGAGGAGCAATCAGGGCCTTGCCTGCTGGCACTAGCGCCCTTTCCAACAAACTGTGGCCAAGCCACTCTGCCAGCTTCAGATGCCATGACAAGCTATTAGGTAAATCTGCCCTCAGCAGCCCAGCAAGAAGCCATGAAGTCTTGGGGCTTGTGTGGGAATCCCCCCACACTAAGAACACCGTGCCAAGCTCAGACCTCATGACAAGCCACCCTGAACTAAACAAGGGTGCCATCCTACTGTGGGCTGCTGTGCCTGGCAAAGTCCGTTACGATAACAGCTTTCTTCACCACCTCCTTGCATCTGCTGCATTATGCAAAAAAGCTGCAAAAATACTGCTCTTCAGGTTAAATAACCAAGACAGAGTGAGGCGATCCCTTCATTTCTTGCAATAGACAGGGAGAGGCCACTCTATCAGAATCTCTCCAAAGTACAAACATAAAGCAGCTCCTTTTACTTTTCAATCCATCTGCCACAGCCTTCCCCTTTTCCCTCGTTTGGAGAGGTACCAGGAGGTTACAATCTTTCCATCCACCTAGTTCATATTCCCTGTCTCATCCCATTACTTACATCTACATACATTGCATGTGCATTATATTTAGCCCATTGTCTATTCAAGGTGTGTGAGTTAATATTCCTCAGCTTATTACGCCTGTGTGCTTATAATTACAGGTTCATTAGTTCACTCCTCTCTAACTTCACCTTGCCCTATGCTGCCCGCAGCTCATAAAACTACCCGGAGGATGAGATAGGAAGTAGCACACTTTCTTTCAAGCCAATTATCTTTTTCTCCTCTCCACATTCCTTCAGACAGGCTTTCTGCCTTGGTGATTGGCTTTGTTTCTCAGTCACTGAGTTACTTCCTTCAGCTGCATCAAATCATAACAATTGGAAGACAGAGCAGGCCAGAATGCGTGTGCCACGGGGCATCACCACCCCTTGTTCAGCTAAGCACCCTCCAGATCTCTTGGGCCGC